AATAAATTGAGTGATTTTCAATATCTTTTAATTCGGAAGGTAAAGAATTAAATAAACTTGCACCACTGAAGGAAATTTTGGATTTTGCTTGCGTAGTCTTAACTGATGGAACTTTTAAGTCTGTAAAGACGATCTAGTTGGAATTGGATGACCTATACCTATACCTCTCGCCGAAAACCGTCACATGTCTTCGTGTCAAAACATTCGGGAATGCGACCACGTTCCTAACGTTCACGAAAACAAAATGCGTTTATTTTGGAATGAAAGAATATCCGTGGTTTGGGTAATATTGACAATTCCAATAAAGAATTCTCCATTACGAATTTGAACACATTTCTATTGACTTCATAGGTTACGTTGGAGGATCTTATTATAGTCATACGGGTAGTGGCTCGAACTATGTATGTTTGACAGGTGATCCGATTTATGAAAAATATGAGTCAGGTTTCCAAACTACTTCTCGGATATATGGCGCAAAATATGAAATTATCTCTACTGGCCTATGGATGCACGAGTACAATGTCCCATGTGCAGTATGTGTCATGTGACCAAAAGTGCTTCACAAATGATGATACCAGGTCGTAACGTGTGTCCCGCGGGATGGACACGTGAGTACAGAGGATACTTGATGGCGGAAAAGTACGATCATCATCGTACAATGTATACATGCATGGATGAAAACCCCGATTACATACGAGGTACCCACGCCAATCTTAACGGCGCTTTGATCTTTTTTGTTGATGGAGTGTTCACTTCCCTGCAAGCCTTATATAGCAGGGCATGAGTTGACATGCGCAGTATGCACTCGCTAAGTATCAATATGAACACATATTTTTATGTTGAACATTACTTAATTATTACATTTTATACTCAGCTGCACTTCATAGGAACAGTTAACACTAGTAATCTTTTTTATCAGTTAGCACTAGTAATCTTTTTTATCTATAATAGTAATAGGCAAAATTTGGACAACCTAATAATCTACAACTACACATTTTTAACTTCTTCACAAATGTAATTGCAGTGCTTGTCTTATTTCAATTAATAAAACTAAACAACAAAATTTTTTTGTGTTTTGTGCGAACCTATAATTCTGTTCATAGGTGGTCCCTGTGCGCGCAATAACATTACTAGAGTTTTATATAGTACCAAAGACGACGAATATTGGCGTATACTCTCATTTCCTAGCGCTTTTTGACTGCTTTTTGATACAACGACAAAACAATATAAGGATTAGAATTAAATATACGCCATCTCTGACTTCGTGTTTCTTAAAGGGGTATGGCAATAAAAATTTAGTTTGTCGCATGTGGGAGAACTTTTAAAATTATGTGGAATTGCTTTGTTCTCGAAATATTTTTGACAAAAATTTATCATAAATTAATGACTATCCACCATCTTGGATTGCGTCACATATGTTACGTCATACCAGCTTGAGTAAAATATGTACCACAAGGACTCAAAATTTTGAGTATAATTATTTAAATTTAAGAGCAAAATTTACTCATGACAATTTTTTAAGTAAAGTTTGAAATTTACTCAATTTTTGTGAGTAAAGATTTACTTTACTCAAATAAATGAAGCGGTCTTAGTAAGACTTAAACTCGATCAGGTAGATCTGAGCGTCGTCTTAGTAAGACTTAAACTCGATCAGGTATATCTGAGCGTCATTTGCAATTCACTCAGCATTCAGCACTCATCTGCAAGTGAAGATGATTAACATACCCTCCAATGTCCCCATTCCACCTCCATATTTTTTTACGATTTGATGGCTGGTACAGAAATTGATGATTGGCAGTGTTCGTTCGGCCAAGTTTAGTAAAACGGCTTACCAGGAAACTCGCTTAAATATGAACATGCTTTAACACTTACCTGTCGTTCCGCTTGTGAAACAAACAGTAAAAACATCTTCGGGTTTGCCAGGCTGGAAGTTAAAGAAACAAATTAAATAGTCTAACAATTATTACATGATAAAACATATATTTAAGGAAGGAAAAAGGAAGGGATAGTCGCGCCTCTTTACGCGATGTTGAACATGTTCCAGGAGAAAATTTTGCTGCAACTTGCAAGTGAAGGTAATTTGGCATAGATTTATTCCGCGTAATTCTTTGTTATATCACTTGAGTTGCACACGGCAAGTACATTGAAGGAATTGAGGTTCTTTCAGGACAAGTTATGGACTAAAAGGACCTACAGTATACTGTCTGGAATTGAAAACTTAATATTTCAGATGAACTACTCACTCACCCTACGAAAGGACATTAGCAGGACACATGCAAAGATCTAGTGGTTGTACAGTATATAAACGAACCACGTTTAATGTCTTGTTAATCTATAAATTATTATATAATGAAGTTGGGATCGCCTCCCATCTATATACAGAATGTATTGTCTAAAGAACGGATCACAAACTACTGAAACTAGGGTTCCCACCCTTTAATGAAAATGAAATTCAAGGACTTTTCCAGGACTTTCAAGGACGTTTTCCCGTCAATTTAAGAAACTAAAACTGAAAAATCTTTAAAAATGGCACGGATTTTAATTAAAAAAAAATTTTGAAACACCACTCTATTTATTCAAAATCAGTATAGTCTAAATAATGTTCAAGCATTATCAGCACAGCAGGAAAGAAATTCCACGACTTCCAAGGACCCGCACTAATTTTCAAGTACTTTCCCGGCCTGGATTTATTTTTCTAAAATTCAAGGACTTTCCAGGATTTTCAGGGCCCGTTGCAACCCTGACAAACATTGTTCACGACCAGAAAGCCAATTAATCAAAAAATTTGATCGCAAGGTAAAAAGCTCGTATAAGAGTTAAGTTTTATAACGAAATGTCGAAAACTACACTGTCAATGAAATTCAACTACGACAATATCTAAACTTCATAACTAAGGCAAATCATGACTTACTGATTTTTCTTTCGGATTATTGTGACCCAATTCCTGAAAAAATAATTCGTATTTTCAGCTTTGCAGGTTATTGTATACTATCATTGTATCGCACACCTAAACTAAACCTAAACTAACTTTATTTATGTTTACAGCTATTTCTTTAAGAGCTTAAACGGTTAATAGTTTGTAAAACAAGCCAAGAAATAGTATATGAATTCAACTACCGGTAATTCACTGAAACGGCTAAAGAACACTTTATAAAATCTACCAAGATTGTGCCGGGTGATGGCGCCCAATGTATTGTAATGACGTCACATGCAAACGACGACTAGCGATAGTCAGTCAGTTTTAGTTGGAAATTGTGCACAAGCTCTAAGCACAATGAATCAGGGTTCTTGATAGGATTTGGAGTAGGAGGCATTTTGCAAGAACTAGGGTAGAAGTAGTTCCAAAGGTACCACTCGCCTGGGAGGGATCGGAGGACGTCTCTCTGCGAAGATTCTGAAATTTAAACTCTTTGAAATGGCGTTACCAGTCTTTTTGGAGAGTTACTGTAGGGGTTTTTGTCATTTTATCCAAAAATTTAACAAAGACTAGAAAAGCAAGAAACATTTCCCTTGATATTTCTGCGCTAAGAAGGAAATATTTTGGTTTGTAATTTCGTGAAATAACCGGTGATTGTCTAGGCTATGGACGGCGAAAATTGCCGGGTGATGGCTTCTAATGGGAACCATGAATGGAACTCATCAACCAAAACGTGACACGCATTACTTCCTCCCTCCTAGGTGGAGGAGTTTACGCGGATTTTAGTTTTAGTCGTACTGTTTGGACTCCGGACTCCAAGCTTTAGGTTTCGGATTTCAAGGCGTAAGTTTAGCTGGAATCCGACTCCTTTACACGGGGCGAGTAGGACATTTGCATGGGTAATTGGTAAAAGCGCGAGGGGGTATACTAGAACGCCGGCGGAGGAGAGAGCTTTACCTCCATATCTTTAAATGACTTGATCGTAATCCCAAATTTCCCGGCATTCTGTTCGTCTTCTTCGCTGACATCTCCAATTTTAATAATGTGTTTTAATTTCGGACACTGATCAGCTTTCTCCAACAAAACAGGTAGTTTGTTTCCATCGCACACGACCACTGAAATCTCGGCTGTAGTTGTGAGATAAAAAAATTATAGATTAAATTTCCTTGTAGGTTCGTATAGGGATGACTATGATAATTATTGTACCTTTTCTATCGACTATGTTGATTTATTTGTAACATTATACCAGGTACGTGGCGCAAAGTTCTCCTGTTTGGTTTAGTATAACTCACTTATACAAGACCGGATTTTGGTGGAAATAGTGGGGGAGGTAGAAAAAAATTTAGGGGAGGTGCAGCGGTCTAGACCATGACCCCCATGGAGAATTAGGGCTTAGAACAGGCCAAAGTCATTAGTCAACGACGTGACGTATGCATGTCGTGTACAAGTCGAATTGTGACTGTACAACTCATCCAATTTTACCCTTCATTACAATTACTACAAAGTTTCTTTCAGAGAATCCGAGATGAATAAAAATAATCACTTTCGCCTCATATCCGGTATGGTTTTTGCGTCGCTACGCAAGCTATCCGATACAAAGTAAACAAATATGGCCTATGTCTATGAACATTGTCATAATAATCCGTAGCAACTTACCGTGGTTAATGATGTAGGTGCATGCATCCGCGCCCAAACTATCATAAAGTGGTACCGATACCATCGAGTATGTCAAACATGCAACATCAGTCAATACCCACTAAAACAAAAAATTGCAAAATATGAACGACAATCGATGCACTATAATGAACAAACGAACTGACGAACTTTGAAACTCAGTTCCACGTATCATATCTGTGAATCGATATGCAAGTTTTAGTTTCAAAATTGAAATTAAGAAAATTGATGATCAAACCTCAGCTTTGTTTGAAGCATAAATACCAACAAACGTCTCGGGACAGGGTTGGTATCCAAGTTCCAATATGCCAGACCCCAAATCTGCTGCTTTTTGCAGCACCTGGAATACAACGGCATAGTATAGTATAGTATAATTATATAATAATTATTCTAATCCATAAATACGGGAAAACTGAGAGACTTAGTAATTTGGTGGTCTTTCATGACATACCTGGAAACCTGCAATGATAGACTAGTTACTAGCACAATTTTTTCAGTGCTTTGCGTCGTCATTTTTTGCGCACAGATTTTTTGGGTGTGTAGACGAGAGGTTATGTTCACTAGTACGGACTGTATCGAAAGCGTACCAAAACTCTAAACTTGAGGCTTATAGTATGAACAAACGTAAAATGTGGCGTCATTATTTCGCTCCGGCATTGTGTGTGAACCTTGTCTCAGTATATTCCAATTCGACTTTTTAATTTATGTTCACTTCATTGCTAACGGTTACACAATCATTGACCACTTTACCTCATTATATGTTATCCACGAGTAGGAGCCATTTAGATTTGTACCAAGGCACTGTTTGTCACCTGAAATGAGCATTACGCCTCTGTTACACTAAGCAACTTGTCTTGGAATTTATCTCGCAATGATGTTTGTCGTGTTACTCTGAACGTGTGCATCCACACCGGACAAGCTGAAAAGTTTGCATGACCAGGATCCCACCGTGGTCAGGCAAACTTTTCAGCTTGCCCTGTGTGAACTGTGGATGCACGAGTAACACCACAAACATCATATTCACCTGAGTACATAACACCAACACACACAAAAAGTATTATCTCACAATGTTAAGAAAAACGTTTTGCAGCATTGCATTGCAAGGGATGTTACACCAAGCAATATGCTCCATGCAACTTCCATGATCATTATTAAAAATATTATAAAAACCGCGAGTGGTGCTAACGTTTGGCGCCAGATTGACAGTCAAAAGCCAATAGGAAGCCATTCAGTGTATAAACATTGCGCGACTAGTTGCAAGAGGGATGTTACACTGTGTAAGGCGTAAAAAAATACGTGTGGTTCCGGTTTCATATCGTGAAAAAATTAGGGTCGGTAGGTCGGAAATATATATTTTTTAAAATATTTTTTTTCATGGTTTTGCCGGATTTTTTGCTGGGGGATTTGCAGTAGAGTCCCGACATCAATATTAACTAGAGATGCGTATTTCCCATGGACGAATTTAGGCAATTTGGTTCAATAATTAGTGTGACAACAGATGCCATTTTGGCACGCTGCATGAGCAGCCCGCAACCACCTGGAGAAAATAGGGTCGCACGGTCAATTGCGTTGAAAAAATAATAGGGTCGGCAGAAAAAAATAGGGTCGGTCGGGAACCGGAACCACAGGTTGTTTTTTTTACGCCTAATGCTTTAAAAATGCGTTGCAGCGTTGCCGCAATCGGTGCAAAAAGTAGAACCTGATTTGACTTCTTGCAATGGTTGTTGCAACAAAAATATTGCGAGACTTGTTGATTGCTAGCCTCCTCCGCGGGCAATTCTTGAAACTCTTGAACTATTTGTAAATAAATTCATAGTTGGGGGAATCAACTATCCCTGATTATCCCTCAACTATCCCGTAACTATCAAATCAACTATCCCTGACTATCCCTCATGTTGTTTGTGATGTTACTCTGAGTGTGCATCCACACCGGGCAAGCAGAAAAGTTTGCTTGGCCACGGTGGGAATGGAACCCATAAATATCCCTCGTGTGTTTCAATAGTTGCCTGCGGAGGAGGCTAAGTCGATTTTAATAAATATTTAATTCAAAATTAAATATTTATTAAAATCGACTATAGCCTCCTCCGCAGAAATTGCATAGTGTAACAACAGCGCCTTTATATCTACTGTATATGCAGTACTACTGCGCATGAATGAAAACATAAGGGCCTGATACTCAGGTTAATGGTAAAGCAACCTTGGCCACATTGTAACATCAGGGTTTTTGGCATCTGCACTCGGCATAACTATTTGTACATGGGTTTTGTAGATGGAAATTTGTGAATTTTATACAGGAGCAGTTGCAAAAAATGCAACCATAGAATCGAACCTGCGTCCCAGTTGATTTGGACCCCTGTAGATTTGGACCCTCGGTCCATATCAACTAGTAGATATGGACCCATCGGTCCAAATCTCCCAGCAGATATGGACCCCCATGGGTCCAAATCTACTAGTACATACAGACCCTCGTTGGCGGATTTGGACCCCCCTTCAAAAGTTAAATATATGTAATGTGAACGGCATGTAGTAAAACACTGACTACCGGAACACCACCGGAACACCACCGGAACACCACCATTTTGTTTGGGGTTAGGGTTTGGGGTTAGGGTTGGGGGTTAGGGTTGGGGTTAGGGTTAGGTGGTGTTCCGGCGGTGTTCCGGTAGTCAGTGTTTTACTACATGCCAATGTGAACACAATAATATAAACCAAATTAATGATAGCGATCAATGGTCATGGGATGATATGACAGGGGCCAGTTGATGCGAATGTAAGGATTTTGCATTTTTGGGCATCTCACTGGGTGTCGTACGTACAGTAGATTTGATTCCTGCCAGACGGCCTTAACATAGTTGCATTTTTTTCACAACTGCTCCGCTGCATGGTTAGGGCAAATAAATGTATAAAATACACACCTACAAAACTCGATCATCTACTGTCAGTACTACAATAACAGTACATTTATTAACATCATCTAATATTTCATTTTAGTTTGATACTTTAATAAATTTAAAACTTGCTGCCTTAGAGAATTTCTTGGCTTAATAACACAAAGTTTTACAATTTAGGTTAAAAATGATGGATAGATATTGGGCTATTAACATTGAAATAAAAATCTAATAATTATCTAAAATATTCATTAGAATTACACATTATTAAACGGCCGGGGGCCAGTTGTTCAAAGCATGCACGATTAGCGCTAACTCTGCATTAGTTAAAATGTAACCCATCTCATGTATTCCTTCCTATTCTGTCTATTTCAAAACTTTAGGAAATGAAACTTCTGATGATCCATGCAGATGAAACTTTAGAGAAAATATTTCCAAGTTTATACGCAAGCTTCTGGGAAACTTAGATTACCAAGAAACAAAATTTCATGAAACATGTTAAAGAGTGGGGGATATTTAGATATTCGTTCCCCCCCCCCCACTCACTCCAAAAACTGGGGGGACATGTCCCCCCCAGGATTGACGCCCATGCGTCATAGTCATAGGCTTGTTGAGTCATCCTAGCACTTATTACTAGCTCTTGTGTGTTTATGACGATCAAATGCTCACTATAACATAATCGTAGGCTACCTGTAGTGATGCACCGGTCAGGAATATCGGCCCAAACCTCAAAATATTGGAACCGGTATTTTTGTTGCCAATATTATCGGTACTGTATTATTAACCCATGAGTCGCATTGCACCCCAATGCACCCTACTTTAGTATTTTACTCTGTCTAACGCCAGACGATATTACTCGTCAAGGGGAGAGCGTTGTTTAATGCATGATTGGCCACTCTCAACTTATACTGTAATTGTGATGAATTTTCTACACAAAGTACAATTGTCCAGACGTTTATAAGAAAAATTGCACCATAAAACAAGCACTACTTCAGTGTTATTTATAGATTGGTGGGTTAGCCGAGCAAGCACAAAGGTCTCACTGCATCCTACCAAGCACCCCGGCGTAGTCTGGCTCAGCTTAGCCACTGATCTATATATAATAGTTAACACAATTTTTCTTATAAGCGCATGGGTGTGAAGCTATTGTTTGGATATTGGTATTGACTAATATTAAGCAGAATATTGGCAAACTTCCATATCAATACGTAACTAATATACATATACCTACCAGATATTTCAGCTCCCCTAAGATAAGCTTCATAAGCAGTTGTTATTCCATCATAAGAGTCCAACAGTTCTTCGCAAAAAGCACTTCGCTTTGCACCTGGAATATCCTGTATATGAGATGAACTATAATTAATTTATCAGCCTCTTGCACTCCTCGATCAGTTGACCAAAACCAGGGGTGCACCCACCCCCCCCCTAAATCCACCACTAGAGTCGGCACTGATTTGAGGCCAGCTAAGGGTGTAACCCAGGTCGCTTGTCACTCATTTTGTAGCTGCTTTGTCGCTCGTTTTATTGTAATAAATGTCGCTGTCACTTCAGAAGCTGTCGTTTGTCACTCTTTTCTAGATAGTCTGTCGCCTCTTTTCAAGGAATGTCACCTGTCGGTTATAACCCCTTGGTGGGCCTCTGATTTAGCCACTATTTTTTTAAACGGGACACGACGAGTGTTGTTCCTTGGTTGTGCTGGCATGGATTAACTTTTATGTACCATTTAACTTTAACATTTAAAAGTAAGATAAATTTCAGTTTTTTGAGGTATTCAAAATTTGTTAACAGTCTTAGGCTCACTTTTAAAAGTTTTATAATTCAAGGAAACTTAAGTTCAAAATACTAATATAAATCCAACTATTATATTAATAATTAATTTAGTTGATACTTTGATTGAATAAAGCAAATTATTAATTTTGCTGCAACTTCAATATCAGCTAGGATTCTCGGCATCTCACTTGATAGAACTAATTGTAGAATTGGGTTTTGTAGATAGAAATTTCAAGAGACTCTCACACATGTTAGACTCCTTGGTCCACGTTTCAAGTGGTTTGCAGTTTTAACGTACAGGCATGCGTCGCTGAGCCACGGTCACCGTCGAGCTTTGCAAGCACAAGGCTGTCGAGATATGCGAGCACAAGCCCTGGCCAGAGCGGGTGCAAGGAAGGTAAGATTTTTCATGATAAAGCAAAAAATATTAGACACAAAATGAGATACAGTAATGTGAGTAATAACATGATGATAAGCGAACTAACAACAACTACAATTCAAATACAGTAGTCATGGACGACGGGTGGCGCACATGACTGACACAACTCGGCACAAGAGCTGGCAGAGCACCCCCCTCTCCTCCCTACAAGGTCATGCTGGATCCATCCCTGGCTTAGTCTTTTAGAGCACTCCACCAGAATTGCAGGGCGGCATGCAGGTTCAATTCCGACCAGAGGTCCTATAGTTACATTTTTGCAACTGATCCTGGTAGTCTAAATAGATGTACAAAATCCACACTTAAAATTCCCATCTACAACCTTCGACAATTAGTTAATCTATCGAGTGAGATGCCCCGAATCCTTATTTTTACAACAAATTTGTACAATTTGCTTAATAAATATTAATGAGAATTTTATTTCCTCATATATACATTTAAATATACTTTACTCAAATATACTTTCGAAATAAAACCAGTTAAACTTTAATCAACATTAATATATAATCTGCAAAATTTTGTATCTGCTATAATAAATCTTTAATTAACCCTACAAGTTATATTGAGATTACTAAATAGATTGGTTAGATACTAGGTAATATACCTTGAGCTAAAGTTAAACCGTCTTGTACAATCACCTTTCGAAGATTATGAAATAATACCTCACAAATACAGATTATTCTCTCAATATAAAATTCAGTTATTAATACATAATTGCTACACTACATGCAGGAATGTAGCAAATAAAAAATTAAATTTGAATAAATATGTACAAAATGTCGTCAAACGTTCAAAACCTACCGGAACATCGATTGCTTGATGTTCAATGTCCATTTTAGCCGTCTCCTCCGCCATCAGTAAACTAGGAGGTGTGAAAATATATTTGTGCAAACAGTAGGCAGTTCCGCAAACAGCAGCACACACGCCAATGCCCACAGCAATTTGCTCAGCCCTTGGTCTTTTGTATTGTGGCATGTTTCAAGTGATTTCCCTCGGCTCTTGCATAATAACACAAAATAATTATGCGGACACTACAAAGAAATGTTAATTATTGTTTATTTGCACGTTTGACCAATCACAATCGAGAATATGGATGCCGAGCCCCCTGGCTGTTTTACCACGTAAAAATAGAGTCACGATCTTAATTTCTAGAAACAACGGCCAGTTTATAATAGTTCATACCTGTAAACTAATAAAACCACATAGAAGTATTCCCCAGTTGTAATTACTCCGCGTATTTTCAGTTCTATGTTGTAGTATTTTGGCTGATGAGAAAGATCGTGAGTACGATCACAAGGTTGCGGCGTACGTTTGTTCTTTCTTTCTTTCTTTCTTTCTTTCTTTCTGGGGGGGGGGGGGATGAGAGGGAGGGTAATTTCAATAAATTCTCCGGACGTTAATGACATTGTGCAACGTTACTTTTCCCTGTCGAAGGGAAGATGGCTGTGAAACTCATTAGAATAACACTACAACTCATTATCTATGTCACTCAACGTTTATTCATAAATCTGGTCCTTCACCGTCACGTGTGTATTGTATTTTTGCCCAACTAACAAATAGCAATGTTTTAGGAAAGTCACCTATCCGTGACTCAAACAATAGGGTAAATTGGAAATTGCTATTGGTGGATTTGGCAAAAATACAATGCACACGTGACGGCGAAGGACCAGAAGGGAGAAGGGGGTCATGCGAAAGTATCAGTTTTCGAGTGCAGCAGGGTTGTTTCTGAAAACCACTTTTAAAATGGCTTGTGCCCAAAATGGTAGGTTTGAAACGCAATTTGAATTCATAGGACTAATTCATAGGGGGCAAATTTGGAAGATGTTTTGTGAACTATCAAAGCTAGGTACCAGATAATTTGATGTACGTTACGTCCTACGCGCGATCTTGGACTTTTTGCCACGGTAGCATTTCACACATAGGTATTATACAACGCATGAGTGACTCATGGTATGACATTCTCTTTACAAAAAGTATAAAAATTATGCGTGAAAGGCTACTTTGAAAAAAAGTTCAAGGTGCTGTGGACATTA